TGGATACCACCCCCCCCCACCACGCCCTGCACAGCCGGCCAGGGCCACTGAGCCAAACTTCCTCTCGCTTGCGTGCCGCCTCTGGATTCTGCTGGCAGCTCCCACCCTCACCTGCTTTTTCTAGATCGCCCTCTGGGTTGGGGTCAAAGAAGATGCCTGCTCCTGCACAAGAGTCTGGGAAGCAGCCTTCTGTCTCCCAGTAAAGAGGTTGATGAAAATGCTCTAGGAGAAAGACGGCGGGCACTTTCAGTGCAAAAGCTCACGGTTGGAAGACTGGACTTGCACCATTTGGCAGTGTTGACTCGACGTTTACTTTATTCATTCTGCATCTATTTGTTGGGCACCCGCTACACGTCAGGCAGCCCTAGGTGAGCGACATATACGCAACGAACTTCAGTCTTCCTGGTACCCTTTCCTCTGAGAGGGCGGGAGCATAATAAACAATGGACGAATAGAAGTTCCTTAGTGCTCTCTGAAGGACGACAGGTGACTACGCCACAGGGTATGGGGGGCGGGATATTTCCGGGAAAGGGTTATGTGTGTTGGGGAGGTGGGAGGAGACCAGTCCCAGGGACTTGCACTCACAAGATGAGTGTAGACCCATAAAGCTATAGAGAAGTCGGAAACCTCAACCCGGAAATGGTTGCCTGGGAGCTCCTGGGCTGCCCCTGCCCTGCCTTCGTCCACTCTGGCTCTGACCTTCTAGCACGCTCCTACCAGCCTATGCATGTTAAGTCTGCACTCCAGATTCCATTTTTATGCTGGTGGACCACGGTAACGGAAAGGGACCACCGAGCTTCCCAGATACCATCTTTGTGGCTGCCACGAGTCGGGCTCAGGATGAAGAGGAAGAAGTGGAATTATGGGGCCCTACTGGAAAGAGCTCCAGAGCTGATTCCACAGCTGGTGGGATGACGCCTGCTGCTTGGGGGACCTCTATAAAACTCCTCCGACGTGGTTCTGAAATTGCCGAAAGAAGCTGTGAGCAAATAACCAACCCCTCATTGAAATCCCGAAAGGGCGCGCCTTTCTAGCGCCCTCTAGTGGCAGACTGTGCCGGGCGGCGGCAAAGGGTCCACGCTGTTCAAGCTGGGGATGGAAAAACAGGAATACTGAGTGCAGAGGGTGTGATGGCTGAGGATGTGATAGCTTGGGCGTCCAGCAGCAGATGCCCGTGCTTCTTATTCCCAAACCTACTTGCTATCTCATGCCTCGGCTCAGTCTCAGTAGTGGCCAGTGTGGACCAGTCTGGCTACCCATCCTGGCCATAGCAGGCCCTTCCCCTGGGTGCAAGGGCCTCTTGTTCTGGGGGCCTTCGGAACTAAATAAATGACATTGAAAGAGTGGATCTGCATCAGGGTGGCATGCCTGCTCTCCCCAGCAGAGGAACCCTGGTAAACCTCTCTGAAGGCCAATGTAGGGTAGCAGTGTGTGCTCTTTGGGAAGACTGGGAATTTGAGACTCCAAAGGTGGCAGCAGGTCCCCAGAGGGCTAAGAAAGAGGGTATGGGGTAGAAATAGGCAGGGCCACGGAGGTAGCCCATCCTCCCTGGCAGGAAGCAGCCTGGCCATCAGGCAGAGCTGAAGGAATCCTTGTATGGTCCCCACTGGGGGTCCCTATCCTGCC